CAGCTGAGCACTGGGGGAGGGTCGGCAGCTGAGCACCGGGAGAAGGTCGGCAGCTGAGCACCGGGGGAGTGTCGGCAGCTGAGGACCGGGGGAGTGTCGGCAGCTGAGCACCGGGGGAGTGTCGGCAGCTGAGCGCCGGGAGGGGGTCGGCAGCTGAGCACTTGGAAAGTGTCGGCAGCTGAGGACTGGGAGAGGGTCGGCAGCTGAGCACTGGGAGAGGGTCGGCAGCTGAGCACCGGGGGAGTGTCGGCAGCTGAGCACTGGGAGAGGGTCGGCAGCTGAGCACTGGGAGAGGGTCGGCAGGTGAGCACCGGGGGAGTGTCGGCAGCTGAGGACCGGGGGAGTGTCGGCAGCTGAGCACCGGGGGAGTGTCGGCAGCTGAGCGCCGGGAGGGGGTCGGCAGCTGAGCACTTGGAAAGTGTCGGCAGCTGAGCACCGGGAGGGGGTCGGCAGCTGAGCACCGAGGGAGTGTCGACAGCTGAGGACGGGGAGAGGGTCGGCAGCTGAGCAGCGGGAGAGGATCACCCAAGCGGCAGAGCTGGTGTCCGGTCACCTGTGGCTGACAGGCCACTGAGATTGGGTTTCAACGCGCTATTCGTGACTGTACGAGTTGGAGGTGCTTTGATGATGCCGTCACCGCCAGTACACCGTGAATGATCGTATTCAGTGCTCGTTTGGTCGCTGGTGGTAAACATCCAGTTTAAACTCGTTGTAGATAAATTCCGCAGCGGTTATGGTATTGCGTGCTGTCGAAGTTGGAATGAGGTAAGCTGTTGGCAATCGCATTAAGTGCAATCTCTGTGATTGCATTCAGTACAATGTTGGTGAAGGTCCTCGGTACACTGCTGGCGACTGTTTGCACGGCTGTTTTGCCAACAAAAAGACCACAATGATTAAAGGGTTATTTTCATGTGTTGAATTGAAGACGTACATACACGGTAAAGACGGCGCTCATGAAACAGACAAACGGTAATCAACAAAAGCACATAAACTCAAACACATGCAAGTGTGCACAGCCTACTTCAGGTTGCAAAAAGTCCCCGACTGCACGTTTAAAAACATTCGTCAACAAGCCGTGCAATTCTGCGGGCAGCAAGTTATACGCCAGCACCGTGCTGCACGAAAGGCATCACCTGCCTGCCTCAGTCGTCAGAGCACTGCTGAGAGCTGCGTTCAATGAACTGCTGGCGATTGTGCTCAGCACTGCTGGTCAATGCCTGCAGAGCACTGCTGGTGTTGGTACGAATTGCGCTGTTAACGTTGACAAACCTAATACCGCACGAATGCAGTGTTGTAACTGCACCGACGGCAGTGGGTTGTGATTCCGCTCATATTTATTTGGCAAGCTGCTGATGGCCCACCTTCGCCGGCGCCAAACCACGCCCGTTTTGGGTGCTCTGGTGGTGCTGGCGCTGCATTCTCCGCTTATTGTGATTGGCCTGAGCGTGGTGTCGGTGCCCTCTGGCCTAATGACGCCCTCTGTCAGCACAAGCCGCCGAGTGACGGCTGACCGGCCGGCGGTCAGTGTCGGCCGTCGACGGCCGCTCGTGCCGCAGGACGGATCGGCCGACGCGCCGGAGGCGAGGTGCTGCCGCAGGGTCCGCCGGCCGGCTATATCTGGCAGGTGGCTCCGGCCGGTCAGGGCCGCTCTGGGCCGGACGCCCGGTCGATACCGCTCAGAGTCGCCCAGCTCAGCACCAGCAGCGCTGGCCAGCCGGCCTCGGTCGCTCGCACGGCCTCCATATTGATAATGTGCTGAGGGCCACTTTCAGCTGGCGCTCGGTCGACGTCGGTTGCCGATCTGTGACTTGATCGCGTCGGCTGAATCAGGCATTATGCCATTGGGGCGTGGTAAATTCAGTGATGCCGTGCAAAACCTATGCTTTTGAAGGGTCTTTACGGTCTATCGTCGAATAATTCGGACAGAAGGGATTCAGAGGGCTAATCTGGATGCACTGAATAATGAACTTCACTCACGGACTTCACATGAAGTGTTCGCATACTATTCTGGTGTTTTTCTATATATATATATATATATATATATATATATATATATTCTTATATTGTACCTCTATTACCATTATGCTATTCTAGTGTTTTCCATGGATGCTATTCTAGTATACTATTGTCTATTCTACTCGCATACTATGGCAGTGTCAATGGCAACAGCTTTTACTTGGAATCGCGGGATAGCTCCGTTCAACGCTGGCCAGTGTTCTCAGGTGTAATATGAAGCCACTTGTCTGACGCTTCCGGGCGTGAGAACGGAGCACAAATACCTGCTTTTGGTCAGGTGTTTGGGAACGTTTTAGCCCTGAATACCGGAGGGATGTGAATATGTCAACATTGGTGAGTGCTTGGATAGGTTAGTCTTAGGTGATCGTTTCAGTGGCAATCACATGCGTGCGTCGCTTCTGCTCTCATTTAATATTCAAGATTTATATTACTATAGTTTTGAATGGACGATTAATTAGCACCATGCCAGGTGTTATGCTTCTCTGTCTGGTTTATAGTTGAATCAAATTTCAGTCTGAAAATTGTGGCACTTGTGCACGCGGCCGCATTTCGACTTGAGAAGTCAAGACAACGGGCCGGATGCGCATCGCTTCTTCGCCGGAAGTGATAGATGGATTGCCCATGAAGCCTGGAATATCATCTCTTCATGGCTGCATCCAGCCGCCCCAGATGGACCATTTCCCGTGCTCGGTTTAAACAATCGTATCCAGTTACCATTCATCATGCGCGGTTCATTTCCTGCTCTCGGTCGGCCCCCGCTGGGCCGACGGTCGTGAGCTATTGACGGCGCCGCAGCGGCCGCGGGGCCCGAATATGCCGCGGCTGACGAGTCCTCCCCTCCCCTGACCCCTGACCCAGCCGCAGCTGGCCTCAGCACGTCACTTGCGCGGGCGGCCGCGTCGCCATGACGACAGGGCTGGTGGAGCGGGGGAGGGGGGGGGGCGCCGACCTTCACCTGTGACCTCCAAGCTATGCGCTTGTCCCGCTGTCGCCAGAAATGGTCCGCTGGAGCGCTGCATGGCAAATGTGTGGGGTGTCCGGCGTTGCCCGGCCTAATCGGCCCAAAGGATCGTTCTATTGGGAATTTCGGTCAGGCTCTCCGGGAGCGAGCTGTGCGTCCGCTTACTCACCATCCGGTTCGGCCAGACGCAGCTGTCGACAGTGTGTCTGTGTCAAGAGTGTTCTGTTTAGGAAGATGCCGCTGTAGGCTACCGCGTTTCACACGGTAGTCGTTACCACTGCCTTCGTCTACGCGGCCACGACCAGTTCAGTTCAGTTCAGCTCGGTCCTGACCCGTTCAGTATCACGTTAAGTTGATTTCAATGGTTCACATCAAATCAGTTCGGTCGGTATCACGCGAGTCCGGAACTCTCCGATTCCGTTTAATTCAGCTCAGTTCCGCTCAATACAGTTAAGTCCAGCTCCCTTCCCTGCAAAAAAACGCGCTTGTTTCCACAGATCGCTCCCACGGGTCACTGGAGAGAGGACAGACTGACGCCCTTCCCCAGCCGCTAGCACGACAGGGACACCTGACAGCCCGGGCCGCACCAACTCACTACAACCAACCACCCATCTCAGAACAGCACGGAGATGACGCCGTGCACTCCGGGATGGTACGCAGCCAACACCGGTCACCTTTCTAACTTCTATTTCGCTTCATTTGAAAGGGACAGTGCCACCTTTCGACGCCGTCACAAATATATTTCGCGTTGAAAATGCACTACTGGTATTCCCTGCGTAACCTGTCGAACCCATCGCAAAGCATGTAATACGCGATCCATAGTGGTTAAATTTCGAGCATAAAAGGTTAAGCCGTTAATTGAAATTTTTGCTTTTAGTATGACAGCGACCGGAAGTTGCTGTCAACTAACAGACTGGTCTGAAGGGTCCGCTCAGTCTGAACGGCTTAGCGAGCGCGAAGCCCGTGTGGCGGAGGGGCTTTGGTGCTACTGACACCGCCCATCGCTGCGGTGGTCTACGCCGGGTCAGGCCGCGCCACGTCGTGTTCGCCCATGTTCGTAAGGTCAGGTCAGTTGAAGCTGCCTGGGTTCGGTCAGACTGCGTGACAGGCGGGTGCAGAGCAGCTGCGGGTGTTCCCGGGCGGGCAGCCATGCGCGGCTGTCAGCGGCAGTGCTGCTAATTGCTTTCTTGAGATCTGAAGAGCCCGGCCGTGACAGCTACGGACGTCTCCCAGTGTCGGACATTTCAATTTCCGGAGCCGTCTGCTCTCCGCGTATTGTGGGCGTGCTCGGAGTCAACAGGACGGGACCGCCAGGTCACCCGGCCGGTTGGCCACGGTGCCGGAGACGGAACCCCAGGTCACACCTGGCTCTGGTCTGGCCACCGGTGGCCGGAGGACGGAACCCCAGGTCACACACCCGGCTCTGGTCTGGCCACCGGTGGCCGGAGGACGGAACCCCAGGTCACACACCCTGGCTCTGGTCTGGCCACCGGTGGCCGGAGGACGGAACCCCAGGTCACACACCCGGCTCTGGTCTGGCCACCGGTGGCCGGAGGACGGAACCCCAGGTCACACACCCGGCTCTGGTCTGGCCATCGGTGGCCGGAGGACACCACGTCAAGCCATGTTACTGGTGAACGGGGTCGCTCATGAAAAATGTCACGATGGAGCAGTGTATGCTTTGGAAGCAGCGCCATGCCTCATCTGTGCTGATAGAACGTTTGGGCTTTGCTTTGCCATTTGCTGCACCTTTGTATGAATCGTACATGATCATGCACTCCGTAAGAAAACTAACGCGCTTTAACAACTACGCAGTCGCGAACGCGTGTTACGAGAGCGAGTTTTTTCGGAACTCTGCAGACCTCAGATAATCAGGTAGATAATCGCCAATTCACTGCGCTCCGTCTCCAGTCTATTGTAAACTGGTGCTGGCCGGTGCGTCGCCACCGCGCCACTAACGCCGCCCTCCGCCGCAGACGCGATGCCGCGGCCGGGGCGACTGCTGACGCTGCTGTCACTGCTGGCTGTGTGGCGCGGCTGCCGCTCTTTCCCTGCCGGTGAGTCGGGCGAGGCCGCTCTCGACTGATCTCCGGACACTCTGATCAATCCCTGACCAGTCCCTGACCTCCCTCACCGCTCTCTGATGGCTGACCGCTCTTTGACTAATCCCTGACCAGCCTCGGACCGCCCTCAACTCCCGCTGATGGCTGACCGCTCTCTGACCAATCCCTGACCAGCCTCTGACCGCCCTCACCGCTCTCTGACGACTGGCCGCTCTCTGACCAATCCCTGACCAGCCTCTGACCGCCCCCACCGCCCTCTGACGGCTGACCGCTCTCTGACCAATCCCTGACCAGCCTCTGACCGCCCTCACCGCTCTCTGACGACTGGCCGCTCTCTGCCCAATCCCTGACCAGCCTCTGACCGCCCCCACCGCCCTCTGGCGGCTGATCGCTCTCTGACCGTTCGCTCGCTACTCTTTGATCTCTGACCGCTCCCTCACCGCTCCTTCCCGTCCCCTAATCGCCCTCACCGCTCTCTGACCGCTCTGGCGGCACTCTTACCGCTCAAACCGCTTGCTGACTACTGTCCGATCTCTAGCCTCGCTCTTACCCCTCTCTCACTGCTCATCGCTCCCTCCTCTCATCGCTCTAACCGATCTCTGACCGCCCTTACCGCTCTCTGACTGATGTCTTATCTTTGACCACGCTCTGACCGGCCTCTGGCCGCTCTTTCATGGCTCCTCATTGCTCATGACCGCTCTGGCCGCTCTCTGGCCACTCTTTGCTGGCAATATGACACTGCTATTGCTGCTTCCCGGCCTCGGGGAGTCGGTGGGTCGGTTCTCTGACCGTGCGCCGGTCGGCGGCGGGCTCCCAGGGGCACCACCTGGCTGCTTCCCACGAGACCGATTCGTTGGCCGGGCTGAGAGCCTGGGCCAGAGACGATACGCGGGACCCGGGCAGGTCGGGCGCGAGGACCGAGGCGCAGGGCGAGGTCAGGGAGATGGTAGGGTGGGAGCCGGTGGCAACAAAACCCGGACGAGGAGAGGCGGAGTGCCAGGTCACGTGGGAAGGCCGGATGGAGACGTCAGGTTGAATGGTCGAATAGAGCAGTCAGATGGGGCAGTCCAAATCCGTTATGACCTGCCCCCAGCCTGTATCATGAAGGGGGTGGATGTCGCGCGCATGTGGAAGTGTGCACGCATGGATTTTCAGTGATCAGACGGGAACCTTGACCAGAGCGAGTGAAAATGGTAACACAGGAAGTATGACTAGCGGTCATGTTTCCCGTGGCGATTCGGGAGCCTTTGTTCACAAGTTTGTGTCTAGTTGTATGTGCTAGACGCGGCTGCGGTCAGCGTGGTGGATAAAGTCATATAACCAGCAATGATACGTACTTAAAAACATTTCCAGGCTCCAGCATTCTCTGGCAGTGACGATCGTTGGCAAGACGTCATTCAGCTTCCATTCTAAACTTATCTGTACCTCTGGTTGTAAAAATTCAGACATAAATCGAGCTTGTTGAAGTTTTTACAAGTTAATGGCTTGGTGTGCAAAGTTGGTGACGACGGCCTGCTCATAAACAAGAGCTATTTTGGGAATTCAGGTAGTTGCAGCACGCTGACCTTCTGTTAACGACTGCCCATGCGTAACAAACATATCCGTAGAAGGCTCGGAACAACGGACATCACACGAAAACTTTGCCAGCTGTTTCCTGCAAACACTTTTGGTGACATGTAAAAAATAGGACGCTTGCCAACCTTGAATTTTTTAGTTTTGCGCAGCTGCCTCCAGCGCAACCTGACTCGAGTGCACGAGCTCATCCCCCGCAGGCTATCCCGCCATTTTGCTGGCACAGTTCGGTGTGTGTGTGTGTGTGTGTGTGTGTGTGTGTGTGTGTGTGTGTGTGTGTGTGTGTGTGTGTGTGTGTGTGTGTGTGTGTGTGTGTGTGTGTGTGTGTGTGTGTGTGTGTGTGTGTGTGTGTGTGTGTGTGTGTGTGTGTGTGTGTGCGCGTGTGTGCTCGGAGAAGTTTGGGAATGAGGCGATTCTAGACGAAACTCGGGCCGCGGCTCGCTATACTCAATCCCGGTGCATCTAATTTTACATGAGTAACGCTGCCAGTTTTCATCTAGGGGGGCCCAGTCTGGGCCGGTCTTCACGCTTTGTAGAAACTGTCATCATAGCAACCAACGACTGCGGCTTCATGCGAGTTTCAGCAACTGAAGGCGCAGTTCTTTAAAAGCTGTACGTATAAGTTATGAGAAATTTGCAAGGGAAGCTGTCGCCGATGCATCATCTTCCTGCAACACCGCATCTTGGGCAAATCACAGAGTTGTCGAAACTTGGTACACAGCTTTATAAATGTACAATGACTGCGTGACCTTTGTGGAAATCTCACCCCGATGATGAAGGCCCGGTTTCCCAGCGACTCGATACTAAAACATTTCGACGAGGAGAGAGCAGACAATCGTTTTGGCAGGAGTGCATCGACGTTTGCATTCAGCAACGTCCTCTTGATGTCCTCAAGAAGGCACCAAGAGGTGTCCTCCTCACAAACCATGTCTGGGTATCCCTAGCAACGGGAGCAAATCAATACATGAAACGAAGTTTACAGTGTACATGAATGCACCATCGAAACATCTCTCAGCAATCCCAGGATTGTTTATCCGTAGGCGAATCAGTACTGGGCCGCCAATCGGTTAATACCACGGTGGTATAGGGTGTAGCTTACTGTTAACTAGGGACGCACCTGTACCCTTAACCCTCACCCTGACAGGGAGAGTGGGGGGGGGGGGGGGGGGGGGTTGATGCCACGCTGTTGAGTTTTTTAGTGATGCCCTTCGGCATAGCAAACAATCGAACCCAAACTTTCAGTAGAGTATGGGATATCTATTGCATGTGTTTCGACACCAAGTGTCTATAGCGTTTTTGGTTTCGGAGTAACGGCGTTTTTTGAGGAACACCGCACGGCGATCCACGGTCGCTGCGGTCGGCAATCAACAATGCCGCGTAACGCGTGCGGCGAACCGACATACAACGTTAAAACATATACACATACACATCATAGCACTCATAATTGAACAAAAAACAAACCTGTTTGGATTATGTGCCGCCACAAGGCGTAGTCTTACATAAATAAGGTTGCAGAGCTGAAAACGTGCGATCTTCGGGAAAGGCCTACCTTTGACCGATCATGATTGGGCCGCTTTTTGGCCTAGAAAAAAATCAATCGCAAGACCTTTTTGAGAGAAATCCACTGGTGTTTTTACTGAACTCTATCTCTTTTAGCTTGGAAACGACAAGCGGGTCGCACTGACCCCCTATCAGTCGGTGTCACGAAAAACGGCGGATCAGGGCAAGGGTTAAACATCTCGGAAATTTAACATTTTCATGATGGCTCGGTCACGGTCAGCAAATGAAAACCAAGTTAACTAAAATCGATCCGCTGCACTGTCAACACTCGGCGTTTTGAGCTGTACTCATGACCGCACGAACCCGTGATCGTACGCACAGCTTGAAGCGTGGAGCGCTGACAATTGAACAGTATTTGCTCTAACACGTCGTTTAATCAGTGTCTCCTGACATTCTGCAGGTCACTCATTCGCCATTAAAATTATGAATCCACAATGTCAATATTTCGCCGTTCTTGACAAAACTTAATTGCTGGTAATCAATCACAAAACACAGTGCACAAAAATGTTTCCTGAACCCAATATCTGAACACTGCTATAGCACCGTCCTCCGATGACGCCTGGTTGATAAGAGTAAAATCTTGGGTAGCTTAATATATTTGGACATAATACGATTAAAATTATATTAGTTCGACACAATTTTTAAAAAATAACAATATGAAAGAGCCGCACCTCTCAACATCTGCAAGCAATCCCCTGATTAAAGGCAGAGTTTTGTATGCATTGATAGATATCATTGACATGACTATTCAAATGTATCCGGCTACTGACGCTTACTTTTGGACATCATCTACGTGGCAGTAATAGATAACTCCACGTCCATTATCGCCTATCTTGTTTCACCCCGCCGAAGATGTCCTACAGGTGTACAATAAACGCAGGACACGTGATTTCGCGCTAACATAACGCCGCGCTGGGCGAGTGCCAAGCAAAACCAGACTCCGCTGGTTAGTGCATGTCGTTGGTGGGTGACGAATCTGGTCGTTCTATGCATTACACCTGTCGTTAAATAGTGTTTTTATTGTGGTGCTATGTTTGGCTAGCGGGCGCCAATGCATGAAAGGAATAACCTCTGAATAGAACCAGCTCTCTATACACGCAGTTACTCCGCAAAACCCCTTCTTCTTCGGAAAATAAACCCACTTTCCTCAAACGTACTCAAAGCACCATACAGGTACGTTTGTACCCGCTGATTTGCTGCCGTCATTCCTCGCCCATTCTCTGCAGATTTCTGCCGGGCTGAGATTTCACATGCTGACTTTGATGGACTACCAGTTACGACATTCCACAAGGAATGGATGTTGTCAGGATTTGCAGGTCGCTTGAAACATTGAACGAGTAACTCAGTGCCAACTGAAAGGACCGGGCAGATTGTATCACTGAAGCTTTTCATTCATGCAGACTTATTATTCATTATGCTCTTCTTCCTGTCATTGCACATGAAAGATCTGTCTTGGCACTTAATCTGAATTACACGAAAAATGGGACTGCCGGGGGCGAAGCCTATCGTTCATTGTCAGACCCATAAAAAGCCGGTACACCTCACGCCAGAAGCGTTTTCCTGTCACCGCCGCGTACTAATTGGTTATTTTAGTTTGTGGGTTTGGTTGCATGAGACCAAATCGTAAAGTACCGCAAACGTGAAACGACGTGTGGTCACATGATGAGGAAGGACAACGCCTACGGAGTAAAAAATGTTCGGCTATTTTCACAGCCTTGACGGCAAATCATGGGTTGGCTTTCGTTTGTCTTACAGTCCGTGCATTTCAGATTTGGTTCCCACTTAGGTCCGTGTCTGATAATGTTAGCGTGACAGGGGTTACTAAGCAGCGAACTGTGTTCATGTGTTTGATGAACGTAGCATGACAGTAATGCCATGAGTCAGCTGCCGCAAAGGACGGTGTAAATGAAGGTTTTGATGACGGCGGCGTGACAACCATGCCCTGCGACAGCGGTGAATGCATCAGGCGTTATTTATGAATCATACAGGGCTCTACATGCAGCTACAGCCCTTAGTGTAACTACAGCTGTTTATTGTCCCGAGGCTCGACTTTCAGGGCATCACGCGAGCCGACAGCACAACAATGGTCGAACATTAATTGGCACCGGGCAGCAGTGGGGACATGCACCCAGACACAAACCTATGAAGCACCCCATCGTAAGCGCCGGATGGCCGCGTGGCTCAGGTCATTTGTTCATTGAAGGCCGGCCTCGCTCGATGTGGAAGTGAAGTCAGCCCGGCATGGCGTTGCTACACATCCTGGCACACTGCTTGCAGTGCACGAGCATCAACCGTGTAATCACCTGCGACGTGAAAAAATGTCATTGTGGAGGCGGGGCTAGCACCATTCCAAGCGTTGAACGTGCATGTGCTGTCGTCATGTGCAACACCGTAATCAGCGTGTCCCGGCGGGGCCGGCGCGATGCTGGCCGCCCCACACGGCTGTTCCATTAAAGTATCGCCGCTCGCTGCCGTGTTGTTGCCGCCACTAATGCTGCTGGTAATTACGAGCAAGACTCCAGCCCGGGCGAACCGCACTTTAACAGCGAAAAGTGTTCAACTTCCCGGTCCGGTCCATTGTCCTCTTTAGAGGCTGTCTGCAGCTACCGATGCTGTTTGCACCTGCTGATCGCAGTTCCGCGTCGTTCTCAATGACTACAAGTGCTGTGCCGAACGTGTGACAGCTTAGCTTTCAGCCTTTACGTTCTCATTGCATGCCTGTTTGAACTGCCTGATTTTCAGATAGGAAAGTAGTATGAACGACTGCTGTCCGCGTTTCATTTCATCCGCATGGCAACAGCGAACAAAAACTGTATCATGTGGGACGAAACCATACCCAGGCCTTCATGACCAGGAGTCGCAGCAACATGAGATCAGCACGGTCTGGAGAGGGAAGGACGGGAAACCGTGTTCGCTAAAGTATGGGTGGACACGTACAGCTGGTCATGTGCTGATGTGCAAACCATAGATCCACCCGTTTCGATTGGGTAAAGGAGACGGGGGGAGGGGCGGCGTTTTCAGGGAGTCAAATCGGATCCCGGCAACCAGAGCAGACGGGAACAAGCTGAACGTCGTGCCTGATATAGTATACACGCTCTTCACATCATCAGGCGGTCACAACGCCGAGCACTTCATGGATGTCCCAAGAACCAGCCAAGTGACCATTGCTTCTCCCAATGAAACCGCTATCAAATACAGCACGCTGTGGCCAAATGTGTAGTTTCCTATTCAGTTGGGTGGGGGGGGGGGGGGACTTCAGCCCAGCCCCTCGAACTAGGACCCCGACCCTCCCCTGAACTTGAGAAGGAGGGGGCAGGACCCGGAGAGCATCCCATTAGCTGGCGTATTTTGAGATTAGGTTGCGTCATTTTTCACTGCACAGCCCCCCCCCCCCCCCCAGCTCATTTTGTGTAGCTACGCCCCTGGCTGTGGCCCAAGCGGAGATGGCCCGGACGGTGCAAACTGCAGGAGCATATACTACAGCCTACTATGACCACTGTATCCACACAAAATGTTCATGTTTTCGGAGAAGTTTTCGGAGAAGTCAGGCCCCGATCATCAATAACTGTAATCCTTGCAATAGTGCGACTGAAATTGCCAAATTATTCCCATCGAATCGATCCATCGAGTGGAACGGCAGTCATGGACACGCCCATAGCGGGCCAATTGGCAAACTATGTGGTTTTTAAATAAACGAAAATTCCACTTCAATAAATGTCTTTATTCGCTACACTCTTCGTAATATCATATTTTAACATATTGATATGCCCCTGCATGTGTATTATTCAAAGCGAGTCTTTGTATTCACTTCGGTTTTTTCGTTTCCATGATTGCAACCCGTGGTTTTACAACCCTCTTGTACCGTAACATACTCTGTTTGATAAAAACACGCCCAAGCGCGTGGTTTTATAGCACTCCGCAGTCTTTGCGGTGTATGTAGCATCGGTATCCATGCGGAGCACTACATCAATCTCTGTGCACGGCACCATATCAGTCTCTGCAGAGCACCACAGCAGTCTCTATGCAGAGCACCGTATCAGTCTCTGCAGAGCACCACAGCAGTCTCTATGCAGAGCACCATAGCAGTCTCTGCACAGAGCACCACAGCAGTCTCCGTGCAGAGCACCATAGCAGTCTCTGTGCAGAGCACCAAAGCAGTCTCCGTGCAGAGCACCACAGTAGTCTCCGTGCAGAACACCAAAGCACTCTCTGCAGAGCACCACAGCAGTCTCTGTGCAGAGCACCACAGCAGTCGCAGCCTCCGCAGAGCACCACAGCAATCTGTGCAGAGTACCACAGTGCTGTTCCTCTCCCGATTACCAGGGCTGTCTCGAGGGCCTCAGCGCTGTCCCGGGGGCACCATTGCTGGTATGGTGCTCACTGCCCCTCCTCCCCCCCCCCCCACACACACCCTGCCGAACACAAACAAATGTTCGACGTCCTCACCACCAGACATCAGCCCTGTCACTTGACCGAAGCGCCGTCGGTGTCCGTCGGTCCGCCCAAGCGCCGGCTAACGAGGACGGCGGCCCCCGCTGACCTTTGTCATGGCGCATCGGTCGTGATGAGGCCACTAACAGCCCCGTCACGTCCGGACCCCGAGCGTGGCGGCAACCGACGCCCAGCTAGCCTGGGCGGGGGGGGGAGGGGGGCTGGAGGGAGGCTGGCCCGTGGCGAGGGCTGGAGGAAGGCTGGTCCGTGGCGCGAGCTGGGGGGGGGGGGGGGGCTGGCCCGTGGCGAGGGCTGGAGGAAGGCTGGTCCGTGGCGCGAGCTGGGAGGGGGCTGGTCCGTGGAGAGGGCTGGGAGGAGGCTGGTCCGTGGCAAGGGCTAGAGGGAGGCTGGCCTGCGTGGTAGCTCGGGGACCGGTCTGTGGTGGTAGCTGGGGACTGGCCTGTGGTGAAAGCTGGGGACTGGACTGTGGTGGTGGCTGGGGAACTGGTTTGTGGTGGTACCCTTTGGGAAATTGTCTCATGTAGCTGTGGCGCTACCCAACCTTTCCGGAAAATCCATGTTGTGGATATCACAAGGGATTTTGTACGTATGGTCGCCTCTCCATCCGAACATTCGTGGAACATGTCATCACAGCATGACATAAGAATGGTGATATCGTGATGCGAAAGTTGTATTGGGCCAATACATAGGCATATCTCAACATTCTGCGTCATTCTCGAGTCGGTCACCCCATTTAAATTGTCACCGCGCATGTTGTATTTGAAAGGGATCGGGATGCTCCCAGGAATATTACCAACTGAAGGCAGCAAACCTGACCGTGTTGTGTTTCGTTTCAGAGTGTGTATTTCCCGAACACTGGCGGGGGACGTGGTTCCAGTCCAGCGTTCGTCAGCTCATCCACATTTCCGACAAGGAAGTCAGCTCCAAAGGCAACTGCACCGAGGCCAGCGGCCAAAAATACGTCGTGCATAATAAGTAAGGGGGCGACCCTGCGAAGTGCGCCCGTAATGGGAACAGATGTAAGAGACCGATTGACGAAGGGGCCCGTCAAGTGTGCTCCGTGTGCTCACAATTGGGAAGGAATGTAAAATACTTCGACCACATCGCATCATTGCTCAAAAGGTTTTTGCCAAATGTAGATCGCTTGTGTTCGATGTTTGTGGTTTTATTCATGGTGGTGAATGTTTTATTTGACACCTCATGACGTACCCACAAATACAAGACCGCACTATGCTTCGTTTCAGAAGCAGGCGATGCTATCAATGCGTTATTTTCTACGAGAAGCATGTCAACGTCATCCAGTACAAGGAATGTAAGCATACGCTTATGAGTTCTAACTTCTGTGTTTCTATCGCTCTCTTTAACCTATAAACCTGCGCGAAAACAAATCAACCACTCGACAGTTAGTTGTTGATTCATACATTGGCTCGATAAGCGAATTAAGGCATCGAACAATTTGTCGTTCAATCAAGTGACGTCACCAGCGTCAAAGTATCGTAACGCTGCACCTCATCTGTAATTCACGCGCCCGTGCCCCCTCCCCCATTCCAACGCTCTCGCCTGCCGCCGGCAGCCTTCTGCAGTGCGGACTCGGAGCCACCCGACCTGACGTCACTCTGCGGTCACGTGACCGGCGACGGCCAGCTGTACTCGATGTTCCGCGTCGACTACCGGGCGATCGAGTGTCCGCTGCGGGGTCCGTTCAGCTTCTCCTACTCACGCGGCCACATGGTGCACCAGGAGTGCACGCACCCCCGGTCGCGCCTCGAGCGCTGCAACGACCACTCCCGCATGTTGTTCCGCTACCAGGCGTGCGTCGACGTGGCCGGCGCTGAGGCGGCAGGTGGGTGGTGGTGCCGGCCTGGCGGGGTCTGATGGCAGCAGACGGCCTGTCGCGAGAGCGCCGCGGGGTGCCGACACGTGATCCACATAGCGCGGACGATGCATGCTTGGTGGGTTGTCGGACGTCAAGGCATGGGTCGTAAATTTTGGTCGTAAATGTGCATCGCATCCAAGCAGGAAAAGCGAGGCCGTTTCTGTTTTGGATGACAGGCTGCGCGGTGTGGGTGACGCAGCGGTCCTGACCCCAGGGTGCTGTTGGACTCGAGGGGACGCGGAAGGAATGCTTGATTCTGATGGCCTTTTGTTCGTACGGGCTCTACACCAGGAGCTGAGCTGCAGCGGTGCTGAAAGGGTTTTAATTCCTCTTACTTTTGGTCGGTCCCGGCGTTTTCAGTTGAAGAGATGGAGTGCATGGGGATGTGGAAGGAGGGCTCGGCGCGCTACCTGGTCACGCGGCGCGTCTCATCGGCCATCGCCACCAGCGAGGATCGCTACCGCTGCTTCATCTACGAGCGCGCTAAGCCAAAGGAGGAGGCGTGGCTGGACTACCGGCTGGCCGAGTCGGCCGAGGCCACCTGCAGCGGCCTCTTCAGCACCAGAGACGGCACGCGCCGCCTCAAGCTGCTAATGGTCGGTTCGTACAACAAGTGCCAGTTCCCACCGTGGACGACCGTCCACCGGCGCTGGCACTCGCTCGACCGGCGCACCACCTACCAGTTCAACAAGAAGAACACCACGCTGACGGTGCAGGGGCCGCACAACGCCACCAAGATCGAGTGCGCCGAGCTGGTCGAGGTCAGCACGCGAGAGACGCTCCTCGTGGTGCGTGCCACCACTGGCTGGTGAGTGGATCCGCCGCCGGCCCGTCTCCGTCTGAATGCGGGGGATGGGGCGACGAGCAGCCTGTGCGTGTGTGCCGGGGCTTGCGTTTGCGTCAGCCTGGGTTTGCGTGAGCCCTAACGGCCTCTCGCCACGCCCTGGACGGCACGTGTTTAATCATCCTGTCAGGCCTGCGGTGGTTCTTTAGAGGCCTCGGTAGGCACGTTACGGGCTGGAGAAGTAGCCTTCCGAACGGTCCAACGGCACGCGCGTGTTGTTCGCAGCGTGGGTGGCTTCCAGTGCATGGCATTCTACCGCCGGGACGGTCACGTGATGGAGAGTCAGCTGGGCACAATCAGCCCAACTCCAGAGGAGGCGTGCAGTAGGACGAACTTCCCCAGGAGCGCCGTCGACTTCCACACGCTCGTCTGTGAGTCGGCCAAATCTCAAATGTATGCGCATATAAACCGGCTGCGTGGCTCGCCGCGAATGCCTGTGGCGGAGAAGCGCGGGGCCGCGTCGAATGAGGTTAATTTATTCCTCCGATGCGCCTGCACATTAGGGTTATTTATGACGTCAGCGGGCTGTGGACCTTTGATCCTGCTGTTTTGAAATGGCCACCAAATTCAGGCCATGCGAGCGCGGCCAATGTTTTAATGCGCTGCAATGGACATCAGGCAGCTCAGTTTTAGCCTTGGGCGGTCGTAAACTCCCTCGTGCCGTTTCGTCGGCGGCCGTCGCGCCGCGGCTGGGGACGCTCCTGCCACCAACTAACCGGGCTGACCTCTTGGGTGGCGCAGCGTCCAGCCAGCACCACGCGGCGTGCCCACACCTGGGTCAGTACAGCGTGACGGGCGTGTCGCTGGGTCAGCGGACGGGCCGCGGCGCCGAGGAGCGGGACGAGCGCGGCCTCGACCTCGGCGCCTACTTCAGCTCACTGCGGGTCGGCTGCCAGTCCCACGACACCATGGTGCTCTCCGGCAGCATGGGCGTCCGGTCCAGAGGTGAGTCGACTCAGTCCTGCTCCGTCCAGAGGTGGGTGGAGTCTCCGGATGGGTGGCCAGGCTGGTCCAGAGGTGAGTCATTCCTTCCTGCTCCGTCTAGAGGTGGGTGGAGTCTCCTGTTTGGTGGCCAGGCTGTTCCAGAGGTGAGTCATTCCTTCCGGCTCCGTCTAGAGGCGGGTGCCGTCCGGTAGCTGGATGCCGACTCCGATGGAAAGTGAATCGCTTATTTTTGACACATCAGGAGACATATTTTCGCCGACTCCATCCTGTTATTTGTAAACCAGTTACATCAAAATCAAAATTGTGATTGAAATGACAGCTTTACGATAACACAAGACGCACGTGATTAGGGTCAGGTACCCAGCTGGTTTAACGCACCTATGAAAGGGCAGTCGATGTCAACGTTGATATCGTGAAGAAGTCACGTGCACTGCTCTTGGCACAGCAGACTGACCATGCGAACGAGACATGCACCTGGCCATCGTAATCGGTCTGTGTCATGGCTGCGTGTTCAGAAAAGATTAGCCGATTATAAAGTGCCAGTCAATTACTCAGATTATGCACGAATGATCAACGTAATTGTAAGGTGGTAAATACGACACGCACCAATTGTCCAGGGTCCACTTCATATGCTTGAAATGCGTCAGGGATCAGCGGGACAGTGCACGACATAGACGTAATCAATAGAACAATTAGTCGGGTCTGGCCGGATATGGATGGCATGTGTACTCTGCGGCCCACCCCCGCCGCTTATACCCACCGCCCTGCCGGCCTCATTGTTAATGCTCGCCAGGCCAAATAGCGCTGCATACACAAGCGCCGGCCGGGCATGCCATACGGCCACTGCACTGGGAGCGGCGGCGGCGCACCCGTGTAAGTGGGACCGGCTGTCGTGACGCGCGTGGGCGCCGAAGCCGCGCGTCACGCGTCACGTCACGGCGGCGCCCCGCCGTCACGACGCTTGGATGTGGGCAGATAGTGGGCCGTGTGTGACCGGGCGCCGCCTTGGCCGCGCCCGGTCGATAGTTGCCAGGATACGGGCACCTCACATGGCAGGTCGGTTGTGAGGCCCGCCCACGCCACCGCACCGAACACAGGGGACTGGGCGCGCCCGGCCCCGTGGTCAACGACCGCTGGCCTCCGCCTGACGTGGAGGTGACGGGGGAGGGGAGAGGGGGTGTGGGATCCTGAGCAGGTTGGGTAGGTGTGCACATACTCTCATGTGCTTGTTCAGGCTACTGTGTTGTATTCCAGTCTTGTTTACTTGCTCTGGACATCATGGAGGTTGTAAGTGGGTCATAACATGCGACGATCCACCTTTGTGTCAGGACTGATTTGCTGAAGCTCACTAGTCACATCGGTTTCTCGTCGGGGAGTCTAAGAGTACAAGAAAGCTGTCAAACTGAACGTTCTGATATGGCTTGGATAAAGCCTTCACCCGGGAAGCAAAACATTTAGCAGTGATTTTCCCTCCGAATTGGTAACCTGTCATGATCTGAGATAATAACTTCCAGTCGTAGAATGAAAAGAAACCGGTACCCAAACACTTCATAAAGAGCTGTGATATGAATGACACAAAACGTTTTAACCAGCACGCACTGTGCAGGGCTTCCTCCCCCTCCCCTTGCGATCCCCGCTTACCCAGCAGGCGCAGGCACCCGCCACGGCTCGTGCTCGCTGACGCTGACGCGGGGCCCTCCCTATTTCAGCGTTCTCGTGTCAGGGCAGCTGGCGGGAGAACGACACGCTGTACCTGGTGGCGTCGCCGAGCAGCCAGCGGTCAGAGCCGGCGCCGCACTTCTGCTTTGTGTACACGGTATCGCCAGACGGACCCCGCTTCTCGACCGTGCACCGAACGTGCCCGCGGGGCACACAGCCCGCCGTCGAGCGGCTCATGGCCTTCAACGTCACAGCCAGGGGTAGGTCAAGTCGCCAGCGCCGCGGTGCACCCCTGATCCGAGGTCGAGGCCGTGGAGAATGCTTCTCACTTGCTGAGCCTGACTGTTGCGGAGCGACCAGGCCAGGAGAACGTTTTAGGAATGTGGCCGCGATGATTGGAGACGGTATTTCATCCTGGAAGGGTTGTCAGCAGACAAGAGCCCCATCTGCGGCTCTCGTTTTAGAGCTGATGCATTCGTACCATGTATCTTTCTGGAGAGGTGTGTTTATATTCGTTACACCCCAGTGGAGCCGGGGTCTGGTAAGGGGTCTGGACAAAAACCGCTCTTGGTGTGGCGTATACAACGTGTAATGTGTGGTGCAGGCTCCTGGGACTTCTTAAATTTCTTGAATAATAATAGTTTTTAGGGAGACTTTCAACCACTCCTGTCATCTGGGATCAAAATTTCTGGCGCCGTTTGTAGCGCGAGGCCGCGAAAGCCTAGGCCGGAGCCAAGCTCGATGACACAACTGATCCCACAGTCATGGGCGAACGCTCCGCCATCTGCGCTGCGCCGACCCCAAATGTCATGTTTGGTCGCAGCGCTCGAAATGCGAGGCCTCCACCCACGTGTGAGGGTGTTTTGCGGAATATTACGAGGAGAGCGTCAAGTTCAAATTCATTCTAACATAGTCAGTCACAGCCGACGCATGACACTAGTCCAGAAATGCGTTACACTTTGTCCTGATGTATGGTCAAACAAACAAGCGCTGTTCATTTTCTTATCATCGTCGTTGAAATGACCGTGGAAAAGTGGCTGATGTTAAAAAAGGAATTTCTGAGCCCTCAGACGCCACGGCCTAACAATAGTTACTAAGTCATGAGGCCTCCGTGCAAACGTGTGCCTGGGTGACATACAAAGTCCCAGATCTCGCAAGATTTGCCGAGCAATGACCATACTCCAGATCTCACAAAATCCTTAAACAAAAATGGGAGATCCCAGCCCTGAGAAGATCAGTCAGCAAAATTTCTTAAAAGATGTGGGACCTCCGAATAATCTTCGACCGAATCTAAGAATACATACTAGACCACACTACATCATTCAACGCAATTTTGAAAGAGACCCGGATCCCAGAGAATAAAAATTATCCTCGATCCCAGAAGATCATTTGGCATATACATGCAAGGGGGTATTTAAATGGGACATCGACGCAAGTTTTCCTCTTGATTTTTTACGTGTGCTAATATATAGGTGACTGAATGTTAAAAATTAAAAAGCCGAGATGTACGCTTTCGAATGAGTAGGTTGAAACCTTGCGATATTGTTATAGGCCACGCAATACATTTTGCGGGCCTGCAGGGCCTCTAAAATAGTGTTTTCAGTGAAACATTGCGGGGTATGCCGCCCATTGCGAAACCCCGCGGTAGCTTCAGGTTAAACTACTCTGCATGTTTGGGCTGATCTAATCTTCCTTGTCCTGGCATAACCTTCGTTATTATTTATAAACCATGGGAGTACCAGGCGTTAAAGGTTCAACACGTTCTGAATTCTTGAAGGTTAGTGGAACATCCACAAGTAAGCCTGGTGAAAAAGTTCCAGCAAAAGTTCAAACAGCCATCACAAACCAGCACATATAGTGTGCATGGAAATGGTATCAGCGCCATGTCTTATATACATCAACTCATGGCGTCCCGGTAGAGAGATGTGGCTGACAATGTTGTGAAGAAAAACACACAAACCACGTAATTTCTGTTATATTTCACTGCATTTTGATCCTTGTGAGTCAGGCTTTAACTGAAATTCAAAAGGGGAAGAGGAACTGGAAGTAAATCTATCCCACACCTAGCATGCCTTCCCCCCCCCCCCCCCCCCAGTGCTTCAGCACACCAGGCAAGGTGTTCTAAGATGGGCCAACGGGCCACAACAGGCTAGGTCTTTAAACAGGCTCTGCGTTGACTGGTGGCCTGCACGGTAAAAAGGACTAGAAAACTCCGTGATGACGTCAGCCCTCCGGGACGGCCAAGGCACTGAAACGGGACCTGACCATCCAGGTAGATGTATGGCATGCGTGATTTTTCCATGTGCTGTCAAGTTAATCGAGTTTTAATTGACTTACGTACTCTGCTCAACCGTATCAAAGCCCCAAAATTGGCATGAGTTAATTTGCAGTACAGGCGGCGATGCTAGGCAAGTGGGTTTCAAATGTAAATCTCAGGACAAGGTGTTAGCGTAGCCTCTGTCCTAGGCAAAACGTTTGGTCAGAAGCCTGGCTTAGTAATGCTTCAGTGCCCGTGATCTTGGCGCGTAGCCAGACCCCTTTTCCACTGTGGGCAAATCACAGTAAAATGCAAGTCAAATAACACTAGTAACATATGTACCTGCTATGAGAAATCTTAGAGCAATTTTGGACCGTTCAATAGGCCATTTTGTGTAAATCGAGGCAATTAAATGCCATGAAATGTGCCACAACAAGCCAAGTTTTATTGCGACCTAAGGTCATAAAATGCTTCAGAGGAGATACTCAAGTGGGCCCTAAAATTTGGTTACGCGATGTCTAGTGGCTTAATGCAAGCGCTGCTACTGGTAAAGCTAAATGTTTTCAAATGGTAGACAGCCTCATCATCCCGAAGCCTCACCATTTCATCATTTCACCAGAACCTTAATATCCAGTTCCAAGAAGGGTAAATAATTTTTTAGATTGCATTCCCACCAGAGTTAAACTTTTCCGTCAGGCCAGCTCAAATAATGTCAATGCTTCAGAAAAGGCGTGGACACAAAACTTGGCTTTAAAGGAGTGTTGCAAAGTTGTATGGGTTTGAACTGAAAAGATCATCTTGAAAATCATTTGGTGCAGTTTACAACCCTGTTCTGCTTAAGCCTTAAACTCCTCTGGTTTCTGGGCTACACGCCTGCGAAAATGTGCCGACTTTTACCGGGGGACTATTTCAAGGTCACCTAGGCATCCAGGACGCCATAAAAGGCCATACAAATTTGGCCATTACATTACCTATGCGGCGATCAAGGCCAAGCAAAATAAAGCTGTCGGGTCGTTCATGTGTGGGGTTCGTGAGCACTATTTTCAGAATAACGGCAGCCCATTGGCTCTCAATGTTGTGCAAGGTGCGGTGACGTACTCAAACAGTGACGTATCGAAAAATATATAAGCCAAACATAGAAACCGTGTTTTCTAGAGCCGTCTTCTTTACTTAAAAACATGCTGATAGCTAAAATCGAGCTTATTTCATAATACCTCAGGCTTGCTTCAATACCTCCAAATGTCGAACATTTCCTTTTAGGAAACAAACTTCGACCTGTATATAAAGTTTGCCGTCCCTGTATTCGTACCTAACGCGACAACATGATATAATTGCCGCGGGTCAGGTTTCAGCAAGCAATAAGATGCTCTCAACGGTCCCGCCTGCAGTGAGTTTACTGGACACCATTTAAACTTTCATTGCGGCATTTTTGTAAGCACGGACAGAGTTAAACCAATGAATGATCGCTGGCAGAGTGAGACCGATCATTAGCAATCACATCATTGTCTAAGACGCTATCAGTGCTTTCTGCGCCATCTTTGGTTTTATTAGCCCGACGACAAGGCAGATATATGGACTGAATTGATGCAATGACTGATGGGGCGAGGTCTCATTTTCAAATACAAATGCGGATTTTGTACAGATGGCAGCGCGTCATCCAAATATCGTGATGAAAAGATATACCAAAACGTAAGTAAAACAAAGAACAAATGCGTCATATTGTATATATCATACGTACGTACGTCATATCGTACAAGTACGTCATATGAGCCATATGCCCTATACACAACTGGGGCATACGGTAGTAAATATAGTAATGCGGTAACTTAAGATAGCATATAAACATCAGTCAAAGTCCTTGCCATCACAGTCCTATGGTGTATCGCGCTGTATGCTTAGGAGAATGTTAACATAGATATAGCAACTCTATATTCCTAATAACACTTCCGTAGTTATTAGAGGTAGCGTCAGTTCATTGTGCTGTATCTCTTGTCCTGTTATTTAGTGCTGGCTTACTTTGGTGTCTTCATGTAACCATTGCCGGAGCCCGGCGCGAAATGTGATAGATTTGGCACCTGTCAGTGATAAAATGGATATCTGCAGTTAACTGAATCCAGTTTCTGATTTATCACACCATGTGACTTCTCAATCACGGACGATTGGCAAGGTCGTGTGTTGAGACCTAACGGGCTGGAAAACGCTGTAAGTCCGTCAGTTGATCAACCGTGACGTCACGTCATCATGGCGGCCCCATGGAGGATGCACTCATGCATCGCTGGCAAAAGAAAAGTTTCGTCGTGACCTCGACTTTCTTGCGTCTCAGCTGCTGATAATGCTTAAGATCAAGTTCGTCACTGACAGACGGAAATAGCAAAATCTTTATGGAATTCTTCAGGCGCTGTAGCCAGAGGGCCCAAGGTTTTTGAGTTACATTAAAACATTTCAAACCGAAGTAAGCCGAGTTCTTTATTCTGGACCTAGATCTGATTGTGAAGTTTTTGCTCGTGGTTTGCGTTCCACGAAATGGCGGCAGACAGATGGTAGTGGAAGCAATGGCATCAATTTTCGTAACTATATTGAATAGTACTGAGTCAAGAGGCCGGTGACTCGACCTACCCCTAATTTTTTTTCTTAACGGATATAATCCATTTAATTTTGACGAATGACAGTTTATGCATAAAGCCATCCCGACATTGATTTTCTACCACATTATATCATTATAAAATAAAACTTTGTCGAACTTGATATACGTAGGGGACAGCATTATAAAACAAAACACAAATAGATATGTTTGCTTATTTCGTGAAACGAGCCAAAGGGAGAAATACGTTCTTTAAAAAAGCTCGCTATCGCTCCATTTTTACTTAAGTCCTAGTTGTGTTACCAGAGCAGTCCACGCTCTCTGATGAGCACATCTATGATGGAAGCGGGATCGCCGTGAGCATCAGGCATTGTACAGCCACGAGCGGGTCCAGGCGTCAGCTCCTGTTCCGCCCTGAGCATCTGCTGTACAGGACCAGTCCCGGTGTCGCTCTTGGCCTGGACCTGGGCGTGTTAAGGCGGTGGGTCTGATGTACCTATATACATGGACCTGGACCAGACCAGTTTATTACCGCCCCTGGTCATGACCTGGACCAGTCTCGATATTTGTCCTCGTCCGGCTCTGGACCGATCTCGATATCGACTCTCAACAGGCCGTGGACCTGGTCTCAGGATCGGTCCTCGTTCGGCCCTGGACCAGTCTCGGCAGCAGTTCTCGTCTGACCCTGGTATGGGGCCTCATCAAGTCAGATGGGCCGGCCGCGGCACCTGCCAGAGTTAGAGCATTGCGTTGCGAGCTCGCACGCGCTCCGAAAGGCGTCGCCGGCGCGGAACAGAATATACAGAAACTTAAATCGACTTCCGACAAGGAATTTCTCAAAATGCCCATTGCCTGTGTATTTTGAAGTGCTCTCTCTCTCTCTCTCTCTCTCTCTCTCTTCTCTCTCTCTCTCTCTCTCTCTCTCTCTCTCTCTCTCTCTCTCTCTCTCTCTCTCTCTCTCTCTCTCTCTTCTCTATCTCCTCTCTCTCTCTCTCTCTCTCTCTCTCTCTATCTCTCTCTCCTCTCTCTCTCTCTCCTCTCTCTCTCTCTCCTCTCTCTCTCTCTCTCTCCTCTCTCTCTCTTCTCTCTCTCTCTCTCTCTCTCTCTCTCTCTCTCTCACGCGCACAGAGCGATGCTAGCAGCACAGTTTTCAATGCATCGGAGAAACTTTGCGCATTTTGGTCGTCCCTTACACCTGACATGAACCACCGCAAACCACTACGTGCATTCTTGACACATCGGACCCTGTCAGCGTTTCCATTTTCCGGATTTGTCAGGAGATTTACCCAGATGTATGAAAGTCGTGCAGAAAACAAGACTACGCATGATCTCCTGGTTCATCGTGGCATAACGCAGGCGAGGGGGGGGGGGGGGAGCAAAGGCAATGCTCCACCGTCGTTCTGCCCTGCGTGACTGGTGAGAGACGCCTAGGGCAGCCTGAGACGCCGCGGACTAGCTATTATATGCCTGCGTAGTGAAGCTCTTGCTAGAGCCCCAGAGATACTGTGGGGACCCAGCAGTAACCGCCCAAGCTCAGTGTAAGTGCGCTGCAAGCAGCTTGTACAGGACCATGCGCTCCGCACATTAAACTCCATTAAACTCTGCTGTGGCACCGCGCTCGTCCGCCATTACTGTCGGCATTACAGCTGGAACTCGGGCCAGTTCCAGTCTGCGCTCTCTTGGCCGGCTCCATAGGACACAACCCACGCTCAGGAAGTAACGCTCAGCCTCTATGTTGACCATCTGCTTCTAGGCAGTGGCAGGCAATCAAATTTACTCAACACCGATATTGAAGGCATTCTCACCCAATCTGCCGCGCTGAGTTTCGGTGTGGCAGTACCAGGCTAGGGCTAGGGCGCCGTTGTCACGCGCTAGGATTTGGCGGGAAGCGATGTTATACCCATAACGGGTGGACATAGCTGTATTTCCTGGCGTTAACAGGGATAATGCCATCGTAAAGATTTCCGTGAAACACAGCGGCCCATTCAGCAGAAGAGAACTGCACCAGCAGTGGGAACACCTACTGCTCACAACCCTGATGAGATCATCAACCCGAAATACAGCTCTTGTTCTGGACGGCTCGAATGTGAGTCTCTTTACCACGCACAAGCTTAGCCTAGTATCTGTGAGGCCACCCTGGAAAATGTCGACGCTCGTCTAGTAAACTGCTTCCCCCAAGTATATCGCCAGAGATCATACGCTGACAGGGGCGCGGCCAGGATTTGCGACGAGGGAGGCAGGATTGTCTAGGATGTGGTCCTTGCCACTTTCACAGTATCTGTACGCATTGCGAACAAACTGCTAACACAAACGGTTATAGATACAGTGCCCAACAGAGGTGTGGTTCCCTATTCAGTTGGGATGGGGGGGAAGTGATGGGAGCCTCCCAAAAACTTAAGCCCCGGCCCTCCCCAACCCCACTGCGGGAAGAAAGCATGCAAAAATTCCCGGGAGACACCCGTTCGTTGGCGTACTGTGAGGTTAGGTTGTGCCATTTTTCACTGCCCAGCCCTCCCTACGAAATTCTGCGAACCTACGTCCCTGGTGTCTAAACTTTCGATGGGCTTTCACTGTTGAGTTTCCCAGACGCCGATAACATTTGTCCTCCCTGCTGATAGCGGGAGACAGAAAATGGGGGGAGGGGGGGGGGGGGGGGCAGCTCGTTTTAGGTGCTCGCTATTTGCCCCTGACTGCAGGATGATCTGCGACCGGTGGCACCGGCCGAGCCAAAGGTCAGTGGACGTCAGAGTACACGGCGGAGCATGCCGAACATTGCGGCACGTGAAGCTTTCACCGCAAAATTCTGACGCTGATCCGGAATTTCACGATCGGGTCATGGGGTTAGGGCTCACGCAACAAGAACTGCGTGGGCGCTGATCTCGGAAAATGAAGTCAAGAGGCTCGGACTAAAGCTTTAAAACACAATTGACCAAGTCATGAGTGTAGTTTCCTGTTCAGGCTGGGGAGGAGGAATGTTGGACGAATATGCGTTAAATTCGGCGAGAAGCTAGTCGGTTGGCGTGTGTTCGCCACACTTCCCTGTTCAGCTACGTGTCGTGATGAAAACTCCTAATCCTGACGTGGGGAGGGGAGGGGGGGGGGGTAGGGATTGCTATGAGCCCCCTCGGCCGCGCCCTTTCGTATGCACATCACCAGCTGTTTCACCGCGAATGCCAGGAAGCCGATGCATGAGTGCTCTTTATGACGTTATCTTTAGTGGGCATGCAAAACGCTGGCTCCAAAGGTTATGGAAGGCTGTCATGCGAAAGGCCAGCTCCCTTCTCACTATGCAGAAGCGAGTCATTACAACAAAATGGCTGTTCGCGTAATGTTTATGACACCATAACCCACCCCACTTCACTGCTGTTGCCCGGAGTCCCACTTTATTAAGTAAGCGTCTCGTAGAGGTGGAAGCAAGCACACTTTTCCATCCTTGCAGCAAACACACTTATTCCAGTGTTTCACTCACGCTAACGAGTCCTGAGCAAGCACTAACTCTATTTGGCCGGCGTTTCCGGGCGAGAGCGTTTCAAATGCGGCCGGCCGCCCGGCGCCGGCCGACCGACGAACCCGCCAGCAGGCGGTGCCTGCCACGCCCCGGCCTCCTGCAGCGTGGCGGGGGCCGCGTGCGGGGCGTGTTCACCGACTCTGACCCGGTCGGCGAGGTCCCCTGGGAGCAGGAGCACCGACAAGTGGCGGGAGCCAATGATCCGCCCTATCTCAGCGGTTGCCGAGTCTGAACTAGTTTGGTTTGCCGCAGGGCGAGGCGGATGTGCCGTGGAATGCGATAATTCATATCGTTTCCATAAACACGGTACATATTATCTGAGCTAGTTTTTGAGCGGCGGGTGACGTACGCTCGCACAGCCATGCTTTCTAAGACAGAAAAGGGATCACCGTAATGATATTCAGCCTAATGCGAGTTAGAGCATTACAGTTCACTACGAACGGAAAACAGATTTCTGTCGATTGTGGCGTTCATAGATATGTTTTGGGATGTACTTGGTTCTTGCCTCCATATTTTGATAACTTTGCTCGACACCTGCGTGTTTAAAAGAACTAGGCCAACCGAAACAGTGTTGTAACCTTATTTTCCCATTTCCAAGTGGGACATAACGTTTACAAAAACAACTTTAAACTGTTACAAATACCAGGCATCTGATTAATTTTGATGCATTTTGGTACCTTTTCCCAATTTTTGCTCATGGTCTTCGGCGATAACACCATGGCTCAAAACTCTGCCATAATGACAATACTTTGCGTGTCACTCTCCTCTTGTTTGGCCCGCGTTGAAAAATAATTGTTTTGGCGTACAGAGGAAATACTTTGCAAGCGCGGAGATACCAAATAAGGAAGGATCAGAATAGTATACTGCAACGTTCTGCAGATAGTGTTGTTAAACAATGGTCAGGTAGATCCAATCCCGTGATTATTGAACCATTGTCTATCCCGTTGCAATCGCTGCTTTCTCTTAAGTCGAAATATTAACAACCTAACATTTATTTGTAAACACCATTAAGACTGATTTCTATCAGTCAGCAAATTATAGTCCATTGAAAAGGAAATTAACTTTACCACTGTTTTAGTTCCTGGGCACACTATACGTCCAAGCCTTCCGAGATGGTGTGCCGAGTGCAGCTTTGTCCCGCGCGGCTCAGCTATGTCCGGGTGCGGTCATGTCCCGCGCGGCTGGTGCCAGGTGCGGTCGTGTCGCGCGCAGCTGATGCCGAGTGCGGTCGTGTCCCGCTCGGCTGGTGCCGAGTGCGGTCGTGTCGCGCGCGGTTGGTGTCGAGTGCGGTCGTGTCCCGCTCGGCTGGTGCCGAGTGCGGTCGTGTCCCGCTCGGCTGGTGCCGAGTGCGGTCGTGTCCCGCGCGGCTGGTGCCGAGTGCAATCGTGTCCCGCTCGGAATAGCCGCGGCGCGACTCGAGCCCCGGCTGAGCTGAGCCCGGCCGGATAACGCGAATTTACGGCCAGAAGTTGCCGGCGGAGGACGCGTCGGCAGATAGTGGGGGCGGCGACAGTTTATGGCGCCGCCGGTCAGGTGGTATTGCCAAATGCCGCGGCTTGCCGACGGCGCCCGCCCCGCAGCGCCCTCAAATCCACGGACACGGCCGTTAGACATGCTCATCAACTTCAAAGGGCGCTAACCAGAATCTCATCATAGTGCGGCGTCATCGCTTTAGTTTATTAAGCCTCCGGCTAATAATGGCCAACACTGCCGCACGACGGGGCAGCTGACTGGCCTAACGGTGGCGGTGTGCTGTCCTGTGACCCGCCGCTTCCGCTGTTTCAGCCGAGTGTCTGACAGGCCGGGGCCAGTGGTCGCGACCGCTGCGGCCGGCCCTGGCGCTCTGTGCACTCCTCGCGGCGCTGGCGGTGCGGTAGGCGACTCCGTCCACCGAGAGCGAGAGAGTGTCGCCGGCCGCCTCCTGTGGCATCCACAAGGGCGTCGCGTGCCGGCGTGACGTACGCCGTCGGCGCCGACGCCGAGGCCGTGGCGTGCTGCGGTGACGGCCGCTGTCGGCGGTGGCCGGACCGCGCCGCCAGCCGCGGCCCGGGTGTCGGCCGTGTCACACCCCCGCCCGGCAGTGACGCGTGACGCGTGACGCGTGACGCCGCCGCCGCCAGCTGAGTCGTTGTCCCCCGGACGCGCTGCCCGCCGCGGGACGGGCGGCCGCCGGCATGTGATAGTGAAGTAAATCTGTCCGTGATAGAGAAACAGAGTAATTATGTTTTATATTAACAGAAGATACCTGGTGTGTACGCGGGGCTCGCGGGCTGTTCGTCGAAGCATGGGCAGACGTGTGTGGTCTGTGTCGGTGTCGCGAGAGCATTGCGAGGAGCCAGGCTATGTTGTATATGCGTGCCCACTTGTAACACGGCTTTCATTGTCGGGACTGGGGATAGTTTCGATGTCCCTGTTCACGGTAAACGTGTGGCGCGAGCACTGTTGCCGTGTAAGCGATCCGTACAAACGGGCCTATCGTGCTATGTGGAAGCCGCGTATAGTGCCATCTTAACGTAACTGTGCTATGTAGACACTCAATCCTTTTGCATTGTAGTCTGATACAAATGCAATACATGCTGTTCATTAACCCATGAGTGTCTGGGTGCGGTCAAGGCGCGCTGACGGGCGCTTGACGACGTGTCTGCCGCCTTCCGTGCCGAAGGAAACCGACGGCTACGTACGTAAAATAAAAACCGCCATCGACTCTCAGTCAGCGTGTTGGTTTTCGCAAAAGCCACTTACCTGCGGCCCGTCACGGCTCCATCACTGGAACGATTTTCAGTAATGGCGGCATCATTATCCCATTGGGGGTAAACTGCGACGGCCGCCCCGCAGACAATAATGGCGCAGTTCCGTAATTGTTGCGCTTCTGGACATGGAGGATGGCGTAGCTGTCTCAGTTTGATGAAATCTGGAGCGGAGCTTTGCTTCATCTCTATGGCAATGTAACTTGCGCCGATACATGAAACCTTCTGCGGGACCGCCGTTGTTTGAAATATCTCTTGCGAAATAACAACGCAGTTCGCTGCTAGGCTACGCTGTTCAGTCCGCTCCCTCAAGCCATCTGCCCGGAAGAAATATTTAAGCTCACTAAGAACTCAGCCCCTTGCGATCAACGGAACCGTAGCCAATGAGAATGGTGGATCCAGCATGAAATTCTGAAAGGGGGAGATACGGCACCGTATCAAGTCTAAAAAAAACAGGCATGCAAAGTGGAAGCATGTGCCCGGGGTCCACAAGGATCGAAAGCCATGCTCCGTGGAGCGAGTCTACTCCGCTGGGCACGCACTTGTTTTGCAGTGCAGCATAAGCGACAGAGGGACCACAAGGACTGGCAACAAGTCTGTCCGAATTAGCGGCCCCAGGCTCAGGCCAGCGCAGCAGCGCGGCCCCTTGCGGTGGCGCGGGAGAGCACGGCGAGAATAGCACCATCCTCATACATGGTAGCACGCCACGGCTTGCATAAGCGCTAGAACGGAGAAGACGAGTGGATATGGCTGTTGCCCATGCGTTACCTTTCGTCGAGCTTTGTCATCACCCTAAACCATGCATAGAAAAACTGGCATTTCATGCTATCCCCACTCCTCGCCTGTTCTCCCACATTGTCTGGGACGTTTGTGTGCCTGTAACCGCACACAGATTGAGGATACTATGGCTGTTTTGGTGGTACGTTACAAGCGAGGTACGTATGTACGTACGTACCTACGTGGTATGTACAAGCAGCCGGCACTGTTTATGGCGTCAGTTGACTGACATTTTGCTGGCTCTCTGACCGAGCGTGACCCGGCCATTGACGTTTTGGCGAGCATGACGGTCAGAGCTTTTATGCTGACAGCTTTTCGACACTTCCTTTACCAGGAGATACCGGCAAAATGACGTAATCAGGTAACCATTGGCTATATGCTCAACGTCCGACCTTTCGAGCTGTGCTTATGATTACGAGTCATATCTATGCAAATTGGTCGAAACTAATACGGCATAACCTTTAAGGGGTTGTGCTACTTGTTCCAGGATCGGCGCGGCGGTACTATGCATGCAAAACAGGATGGACAATAATGACTGTAAGCATTACTTGAATAGCACTTGTGCACACACTTATACGCATTTAAACTCTCACACCCATCTATAAGCGCTTGTCTGAAACGTCGAACATGGGCAATGTCACCAAGGTTTGCTTGATAGTACAACATACATATATAATGCACTAAATATATACGTTATTTGCTTTAAGCACAAAATGATACAAAAAACAGCACCTAAGCTTCGCAACCGATCTTCGATTTTGGCGAGCTGTGGCCTCGGTGACAGCTGGTCTCGGCGAGACGTCGTCTCGGCGGTGGCTGATCTCAGCGAGACGTCGTCTCGGTGGTGGCTGATCTCAGCGAGACGTCGTCTCGGAGGTGGCTGATCTCAGCGAGACGTCGTCTCGGAGGTGGCTGATCTCAGCGAGACGTCGTCTCGGAGGTGGCTGATCTCAGCGAGACGTCGTCTCGGAGGTGGCTGATCTCAGCGAGACGTCGTCTCGGAGGTGGCTGATCTCAGCGAGACGTCGTCTCGGAGGTGGCTGATCTCAGCGAGACGTCGTCTCGGAGGTGGCTGATCTCAGCGAGACGTCGTTCGGAGGTGGCTGATTCAGCGAGACGTCGTCTCGGAGGTGGCTGATCTCAGCGAGACGTCGTCTCGGCGGTGGACTGATCTCAGCGAGACGTCGTCTCGGAGGTGGGCTGATCTCAGCGAGACGTCGTCTCGGAGGGTGGCTGATCTCAGCGAGACGTCGTCTCGGAGGTGGCTGATCTCAGCGAGACGTCGTCTCGGAGTGGCTGATCTCAGCGAGACGTCGTCTCGGCGGTGGCTGATCTCAGCGAGACGTCGTCTCGGAGGTGGCTGATCTCAGCGAGACGTCGTCTCGGAGGTGGCTGATCTCAGCGAGACGTCGTCTCGGAGGTGGCTGATCTCAGCGAGACGTCGTCTCGGAGGTGGCTGATCTCAGCGAGACGTCGTCTCGGAGGTGGCTGATCTCAGCGAGACGTCGTCTCGGAGGTGGCTGATCTCAGCGAGACGTCGTCTCGGCGGCGGCTGATCTCGGTAACGACAAGACAGCAACACCGTCTGAAGGGTGAGTGGGTGTGTGTGTAGCCTGGCCACGTGCACTTAGCGCAAAACGCTGGTCAACCAGCCCTAATGGCCTGATTCCTCGTGCGAGGAAAATTGGAGAGGTATATGCATCGATAGTTTGGCTACATGCCTTTATCGAAACGGATATCAGTAGTTGAGTGCATTTGACATTTCAATATATTAATTTAACTACTAATATTCGTTTCGACAGGGGCATATGGCCGAAATATCAATTAATCTATTCCTCCATTCCCCTGATTACTCTACGAGGAATAAGGCTATTAGCTCTGTCTTATCTATACGCATAACGTTTCTCGCAAATGCACATGACAACTTACAAAACACCGATCAACCGGTGCTTCAGTAAACTGAAGGCTTGATGTAGAAGCATAACACCAACCGCATGGCGTAGGGCAATGTATAGGCTACAAAGCACTAAGTGAGCTTGATGCCGCACAATCCACAGCAAGGCTTGCTGCCACTGGTACTCATTTCGACCGGTAACTGACCAGTGCCCACTATTGATACCGGTTGCACTGACTATAAATCACATCACGTATTTGCCTATTGGGTGATTACTTCGCATTCATGAAATGTTTTGGTTAGGCGACGAGATTGAGCCCCTTCAGTGCTTCATGCTTATATCACCTGGAGCAAAACTATTTAGGTACTTATTGAAGAGGATGCCTGAAAAAATATCACATTGCAGCGGTGTGGAGCCAATATAGATATTGATATACCGCTAACAGCTTTTCAACTTCAGCTTTTCAGGCTTTATGCCGCTAACAGCTTTTAAGCTGTTTTAAAGATGCCGCACAAACTTGCCAACGATGACGCGGTGGAGCTACATCAGCAAATAAAACCAGCGCAACATTGCTGGAAATCGCTCAAAAGGTCATGCAGACATAGCTGTACGCGTGCGTTGCAATGACAGACATAAGCAGTATAGAGCTTGTTGACAACAGGAAAACATACTACAGAAACTTTAAAAATGCGATCCAGTGGGGGCGACTCACAGTGGGTCTCCATCGGCGTTTCATCTGCATGCGGAGAGCCCAATGAGTCCAAACGGGACTTCATCGAGAGCACTCCCAGCGTTTTAGCCTAGCCGAACCGTCGCTTAAACAGGCGGGGATCAAGAAACATGCCACCGCACCGGTGCTGTGTTTCCCACGTGAACCGAGCGCGTGCATATTTCACAAGAGCTATCCGGCTGGGAAATCTCGGCGTTACGTGACTGGGGAGCGACGGCTGGGATCTCCTGTCTCTCGAACGCACCGCTGAGCAGCCACAGCCAGACGACGGCCTGCGTCCCTCCCAGACAGCCGGCTCGCGCCGCATTCCAGGCGTCCCGGGCAATTTGGCACACCGGAAGTGGCGACACTTCCTCCGAGACACTAAAATCCGGATGAACCTTTTGCATTAATGACATGGTGGCGGCCTGGATCATCACCGGGCTCGCCAAAACCGGGTTACTTAAAGTGATTGTGGGCGTGGAAGGAGCTCTGTGCGAGCCTGTCTGTAATGTAAGGGTTGCAGAGCCTAAACAGGGGAGATATTTTAGTGCCGTGGCGTCGTCGCAGATGATAAGAATTGCGAGGAGACAGTGGGCATCATACATGGTGGGTAGTAACTACACGCTTTTTCTTCAGATATTTTTTACGGGCTTCGCGAGAAACAAGCGCCCAATGAACTTTTTCACGCAGCTGTTCACTTATTCTGCTGGTAATTTGCAAGCATGTGAACGGATGTCTTGCGTTATGCGGGTAGAATGCAGGCCATCATTTCTCATCAATATGTGATGCGATCTCTCTGGTGGAGTCTCTGGTGGTGCCATTCTCTCATTGAGGTGCAGTGCCTGGCTGTGGTGCATGGTGCCAAAGACTGATCTCCACACATTCATTATTTCAAAGGTCTTCCAGAAATCTTGAAAAGAAAACTCAAACCATAACCAGTCATGAAGTTAGCCAGCGGCAAAGGCTGTTGTGGGCAGGATCAGCATCCCTTTAAAGCTGCATTATATTCCGTATGAGGAGGATCGATACATTTTATTACATTCAAACACTGCCGTGTGCACACGCCTGTTGCCAAATGCTGCAGTTTAATCGGGCATATTTCTATGCATTAAAAAAAACGCATTTTACGTAATGCTCTCGTGGTTTGTCCAAATAGCCATGCAGCGTGCAGAACAATGAGAAATGCTTCGCTTCAATCAGCTGTTTGCGATAATTGGGCCAATAGAAAACCGCCTTTGGAACGCATCAACTGGCACTCATGATCTGAGGGGCAATGACACCGGTGAGACTGTTGGAGCTCGTATTTTACGACTTGGACGGTGGAGAACTCTACCACGTGTCGCCATTGCTGCAGGCTAGAGCCGAGTTCGCGTCGTTACCACGCTTTACGACCTTCATCTCAAAATGCGCCTATTTTACGGGGCCTAGTGCCGGTAATCAATATATGTGTCATACC